TCTACTTTTAACGAATCACGATATCATGCGATAAAATATATATATATATATAGCTATAAATTAGCCATAAATCTACGAGTAACAAATTTTCTAAAAATAAACCCGCCCGGCCGCCCTATGGTTAATCCACGGTCTTCATGGTCATTTTGTTTTGTTTACCGATTGCTTATCGGGTTTATTATAAACACTCTTGCATGAAAAATAATTCGCAGAAACGTACAAAATACAGTACACCATAATATAGGTATAGTTTTTGTTGCCTGATAGTCGTACATGCCGCCAACGATAAACGATTAGTGGCGATTAGTATACCAGACTATCGGAGCGGTACAATTACAGCGACTAGAACATTTAGAAAACAGAAAACATACATGCTTGAAAGTAATATCATATTAAGAATATTAGAGAAAATGAGGCAACTTATAGCTACCTAGGAAAAAAAAAAGTCTAGGGGGGGATCTATCCCCCACCCCCCCCCCCCGAAAATCGCCACTGGGTTGACATAAGAAAAAAATCCGAAATTTTAGGTGTCCCGTAAAATAGAAACATACCGGTTTATCGTTATCTTAGTGATAACAATTGTTTTTAATGATAATAGGTTCATTCATCACTATATTTAATTTTTTCTATCATTTAGGCCCGGTTTATAAACAATAAGATATTTTATTTATGATGTATTTTTAAAAAATTAATAAAATGCATATTGTTAATATAAATTTTGTATCCGAATGGCGAATTGAACAATTTGTGCATCGATTCCCAAACTTTTCAATCGACGTAAATAATGTGTACATTATAAATAATAATAATATCAATAAGTAATATATAGTAAATTTATCAGAAAATTAAAATAGCGTTGTGTGTGAATAAGTCATTAGTGATTACTGATAAATATACGGTCAGCGGGTTGACGCAGGGGACAGTAGTGTAATCGGTTATTTTGGGAATACAGGCGGGTCGCATCCGAATGAGCGGACACACACGCAAACATTCATTTACTTCGCACACATTCTCAATTGACCGACTGGAACCACCTTAAAGGCTTTTTTATTCCAAAATATGAACCAACAATAAAAGTCTTTATAGAGTCATTTATTCATGGACCGCACATTATTGGTCAAAATAAGGATCTTCTTTAATCCATTGTTATTTCATCAACATTGAACCATAATTCAATTAAAAATAATTTATTGACATTTAACTCAATATTATTTAAATTAGTTAATTAATTTACAATACGAAAATAAATATACTGCCCACACTAACAGATATAATACTTATGTTATTTGAATGTTCTTGAATCCATTGGAAGTGATTTCAAATAATCCAAATTATCTACTGATCTTAATACTTTTTATAATTCTAAAGCATTATTTCTCGAAAGCCTTGAGAAAATAACTAATGATGCTAATTTTGTTTGGAAAGACTGTTTATCAGATACACTATTATTAAAATTTATTTAGGCTTTGATTAGGCTTGGATTCTTATGATACATTAAACTTTATTGACTCTACACGCTTGAATCTTTCATACAAATTTTCCTTAGCATTTTCATTTACAATTATATTAGGATTGTATTGAGATAATGATGTATTATCTACTTCAAATAAATTATGCTCAAATACATTTAAACTATTTGTATCATCAGTGATTTTCAGTAATAGCTTATTTTTATTTTTTTGTCTTTTAGTATGCTTAGATAACCAAAAAATAGGTTTATATGCATATTTTGGCATTTTCTAATACTAAATAAAATATATAGTAGAACCCGTTTAAGACGATTTCCCGGCTAATATGCTAATTTTTACGAGTCTCTTGATTTTGACTACATTTAACAAGTAACTAACTCTGGATAATACGCTCTATGTTCCCGGATAATACGCTCGTCTTGTCAATGATGTTCATATAAAATTATATTGTATATAATACATATACATTGTATACAATTTAAAGAAATACTTCACTAATAATAACGATAACGAATAATAACAAATAGTAACAAATGCACTTAATCATGTTAATGAGTTAAGAAGATTAATTGCATCTTTTGACAACGCTGATGAAACGTTACATCTTCTTAATAAAATTGAAAACTTCCTGTATTCAAAAAACATCAAAACTTTGAAACCATGAAAGATAGACGACTTTTTTTAAATAAGTAATATAAATTTAATAATTCACTCTGCAAAAAAAATATAATAAAAAATATAATTTATATGTATATAATATGGATGTATTGTAAAATATAATAAAAATTTTTTGTTCCCGCCTAATACGATTTCCCGCTTAAGACGCTATTTGTAACTGGTCCCTTGGAGAGCGTCTTAAACGGGTTCTACTGTATTTTAATTATTACTATCATAAATTTTTTATAATAAAACTATTATTATATCAATACGCCGCCGCCGCCGCCCATACCGGCGAAATATATATTAATACTATAATAGACCTAAATTCCTCTAAACAAATAAAACCATTCGAATTTACAGATGGGAATTATTATCAATGACTACCAAGGCCGTATCTATGGGGGTCCAGGGTGTCTGGACTCCCCCCCCCGAAATGTCTTCAATATTTTACGAATGTTTAAACTACTTATTTATTTTTAATACCAACATAAATATTTTCAGTCAAAAATGACTTAAGCTCCAATTAATCATTGACTGCTTTTAATTTTATACCATAATATCATATGAAAATATATTATTAATTATAATAAAAGAAGATTAAATCTTTTTCTCTCTTATATTTAATCAAATATCAAAAGTTAAAATCGAAATTCAATAAAATTACGATGTACATATTTTGGACTTCTTTCAAAAAAAATGTCTAGACACGGCCATGCTGACCACTAAAGCAATACGGGAAAAACCGATATTATAATAAAATTATATAATATATAATATTAATATAATTAATTTTGTGAAAACAAAACCATTTTATTGATAGTGGTTTGACTACAATGACGTAAACAATATTTCATATTTATAATAAAATCAATTTATTTCCGAAAAAAAGGTACCGTGCAACAACGGTCTAAATATTTTTCAAACAGCTGTGCCGCAATAAGGATCCCTTTAATGTTAAAACATGATTAAATATAGTTGAATTAATTAAATAGTAATATCAAATAACATTTTAAAATATGAACACGAAGTCTAGAGGCCCAAACCAGCCAAGGGCCCAGTCCGACACTGATAGGTACTATAATAATTATAGACAGTAATATGCACAGTGACCATGGTGACAAAATCTCAGGTCTAACCTAAATAGTTAAATAATATATACTAGAATAGCACATATAATATTATAGGCAGAATACATTTATTGGGCTGGCGCAATCACATAAGTTAAATCGCACGCAACACCATGTTACTGGATTATAATATTATACCTAATATCTTTATTCAAATAAATAATATACGTAGGCATAAATAACTGCAGACTACTTAACAACTGTTAAAAATTTAAAATCATTAGACATCAGTAATATTTCAAAAGTTATTTTTCGATTATTTTAGTAGTCATACTCTAACCCTAAATATTGACATTAGGTGTTAATGAAAAACTAAAATTATTGAATAATTGATAAATATCATGTTCCAAAGGTTTTTTATTTCTTTAGATAAAATTGAAATTCAGTAATTCAGAAATCTTGAGCATAAATAATACAAAACAGCATATAGGCTAAATGTTTAACAAACAGATTTTTTTTTTTTTTTTGTGAATTAATTGGTTTATCAATTATGATTAATAACTATCTAATTAATATCTAATAACTATCTAATAACTATCTAATTAATATCTAATAACTATCTAATAACTAACTATTAATTAAACTATCAATAAATAATATTTATAAGTAAAACTACAATAAAATTTAATTATAAGATTAAATTTAAATAATTTTAATTTTTAAGTAAATCAATAAATCTTCTTTTTGGTTTCCTTTTTTGCATTTTTCCGTACTATTTGGAGTCGGCTACCCTTGTCTTAACCTCCTCCTCACCTAACACATTACCACTTATTTGATTTTTAATCTTTATTCATAAATCAATAAATAGAAATTAATAACATTTTTCATAATTCATAATCATAAAAAACAAACTAAAAATAAATTTGGCCAAACGTCTTGATTTACTATAGAACTTGAAACTTTTCTATATGGATGAGAGTTTAGAAAGTCAAATTAATTATTTAGTCCACTGGGACTATGATCTTGAGAAGTAAAAAATAGTTGTTGTCCAAGAAATGTTTAATTATTAATCATTCTTCGTTTCTTTGATTTTTGTTCATAATTTTTAGCCAATAATTGTATTATTGGAATAATTCAATATTTCATTAAAAGCAAATATTGGTACAAAAATATTTAAAGGTTCTGTAATAAAAGATAAATGTAATGTATATAATTGAACATTATTAATATGTTACTGAGGTTTAACATTGATGTATTAATTAACAAATTAATGCCGAAGCATTTTTCACCTAATGATCTGATGTACCTTATCAACTAATTTCTTGATTTTTCTGAAATTCCCAAATGCATTTCAAATACCATTTGAATATCCGGGTATCCATCACTTGACTCATTAATCAAATTTAGCATTGTTTTCTCTTTAAATAAAATATTTTCAACAATCATACATGAAGAGTAAAAGCCATTATTAAAACCATATTTATACCATGACTGCCAAAATTCTAGATTTATACTCAGCATACATTTTCTAATTATGTCCAAAAATTTGAAATATGAATAAAAGACAACATTTTTATCAGAAATACTTTTTAGATCTATACATCTTCTGTATATAATAACAACACATACAATAAAATTTAAACTTCTATACTTATACACATCCATTGCATCAATCAATTTTTTAAGATATTTTACGATATGCTGTAAATCATCAAAAATCCACTCAGTATCCAATGCAACACATTTCAAATGTACATCATATTCTTTAAATAACCGAACTATTACATCCATGATTGGTGATTTAAAAAATGGTTTATTCTTAAAAAATTATATTTTTAATTTTCCTTATTCTTTTGATATTACCACCACGACAATTAATTTCCCCAAATAACATCTCTATGGAACAAGTTTTATCATTTAAACTATCTAAATAATCATGATAATGTCTATTGTCATAATTTTTATCTGGTGAGTAAAAAAGGGAATTGGATAATGGAACAGCATTCCATGAATTTTTATTATTTATACTATTGATCTTATTTACATTAATTGATTGATCTTCATATCTATACATTGGAACAAAATAATCCTTGGACGATGAAACATCTACAAATGCATTTGTATTAAATATACAGTCTATAGCATATTCATCATTTATTTTTTCTTCATGCTGATATGTTAAAACAATTGAATCACATAAATTTGAAACGATATTAGTTGGATTTATATTGTTTACATTGCCTTTATAATTTTCAATATTTGATGCATTTCCATTGCTATTTGCTGAGTCATTCGACTTGTTTGATACAAGAGAAGAGTTTACATTATTTGAATGTTTAGAACCATTTGTATTATGTTCATTTTGAATATTCTTATCAGATCCATTTGTTGAATCAGTGATATCTTTTACAGCTAAAAAAACTTTAGTTGGATTTCTACTTTTTGTTTTTTGTAAATTATCTTCAATATTTGATGCATTTTCCTTGCTATTTGCTGAATCATTCGACTTGTTTGATGCAAGAGAAGAGTTTATATCACTTGAATGTTTAGAATCATTTGTATTATGTCCATTTTGAATAACATCAACAGATCCATTTGTTAAATCAATGAATTCTTTTATAGGTAAAACCACATTAGTTGGATTTATACTTTTTGTTTTTTGTAAATTATCTTCAATATTTGATGCGTTTTCCTTGCTATTTGCTGAGTCATTCGACTTGTTTGATGCAAGAGAAGAGTTTATATCACTTGAATGTTTAGAATCATATGTATTATGTCCATTTTGAATAACATCAACAGATCCATTTGTTAAATCAATGAAATATTTTATAGGGAAAACCTCTTTAGTTGGATTTCTACTTTTTGTTTTTCGTAAATTATATTCAATTTTTGATGCATTTTCATTGCTATTTGCTGAGTCATTCGACTTGTTTGATGCAAGAGAAGAGTTTACATTATTTGAATGTTTAGAACCATTTGTATTATGTTCATTTTGAATATTCTTATCAGATCCATTTGTTGAACCAATGGTATCATTTAGAGCTAAAAGAACTTTAGTTTGATTTATAATTTTTATTTTTCGTAAATTATTTTCAATATTTGATGCATGTTCATTGCTATTTGCTGAGTCATTCGACTTGTTTGATACAAGAGAAGAGTTTATATCATTTGAATGTTTAGAACCATTTGTATTATGTTTATTTAGAATATTCTTATCAGATCCATTTGTTGAATCAGTGATATCTTTTACAGATGAAAAAACTTTAGTTGGATTTCTACTTTTTGTTTTTTGTAAATTATCTTCAATATTTGATGCATTTTCCTTGCTATTTGCTGAGTCATTCGACTTGTTTGATGCAAGAGAAGAGTTTATATCATTTAAATGTTTAGAACCATTTGTATTATGTTTATTTTGAATATTCTTATCAGATCCATTTGTTGAATCAATGTTATCATTTAAAGCTAAAAAAACTTTAGTTTGATTTATAATTTTTGTTTTTCGTAAATTATTTTCAATATTTGATGCGTTTCCATTGCTATTTGCTGAGTCATTCGACTTGTTTGATGCAAGAGAAGAGTTTATATCATTTGAATGTTTAGAACCATTTGTATTATGTTTATTTTGAATATTCTTATCAGATCCATTTGTTGAATCAGTGATATCTTTTGCAGATAAAAAAACTTTAGTTGGATTTCTACTTTTAGTTTTTTGTAAATTATCTTCAATATTTGATGCATTTTCCTTGCTATTTGCTGAGTCATTCGACTTGTTTGATGCAAGAGAAGAGTTTATATCATTTGAATGTTTAGAACCATTTGTATTATGTTTATTTTGAATATTCTTATCAGATCCATTTGTTGAATCAATGGTATCATTTAGAGCTAAAAAATCTTTAGTTTGATTTATATTTTTTGTTTTTCGTAAATTATTTTCAATATTTGATGCGTTTCCATTGCTATTTGCTGAGTCATTCGACTTGTTTGATGCAAGAGAAGAGTTTATATCATTTGAATGTTTAGAACCATTTGTATTATGTTTATTTTGAATATTCTTATCAGATCCATTTGTTGAATCAGTGATATCTTTTGCAGTTAAAAAAACTTTAGTTGGATTTCTACTTTTTGTTTTTTGTAAATTATCTTCAATATTTGATGCATTTTCCTTGCTATTTGCTGAGTCATTCGACTTGTTTGATACAAGAGAAGAGTTTATATCATTTGAATGTTTAGAATCATTTGTATTATGTCCATTTTGAATAACATCAACAGATCCATTTGTTAAATCAATGAAATATTTTATATGGAAAACCTCTTTAGTTGGATTTCTACTTTTTGTTTTTTGTAAATTATCTTCAATATTTGATGCGTTTCCATTGCTATTTGCTGAGTCATTCGACTTGTTTGATGCAAGAGAAGAGTTTACATTATTTGAATGTTTAGAACCATTTGTATTATGTTCATTTTGAATATTCTTATCAGATCCATTTGTTGAATCAGTGATATCTTTTACAGATAAAAAAACGTTAGTTGCATTTCTACTTTTTGTATTTTGTAAATTATTTTGAATATTTAATACGTTTTCATATGTATTGTTTGATTCAATGGTTTTATTGGATGCTGAATTGCTGATGAATGAATATTTATTTTGAGATTTAAGTGTATGTTGATTATTGTGTGCGTTACATACATTAGAATCATCAGACATTACTGGAAATTGTGAAGGCTCTTCGTAATTTTGATTTGGTACCATATCTACAATCATAAATAAAGTTATAATTAGTTCTTGAATTATTGAAATTAATATTAAATCTTTAAATATTTATTTAAGATATTAAATCAAAATTTATTCTTATTCATATGTTATTATTTAATGTTTATTCGATCCTTCAATTTGATTCAATTTATCCCTTTATGAAACCACAATTTTTTTTTAATTATAAATATTATACGAAGCAATCACTACTTTAATGTTTTATTTCGAATACATTTCAAGCTTGAATAGATTTTTTTTACACGTTTTTCACCACTTGCTTTGTTATTCAAAAGGTTTATTGTTAATTATCTAGTTAACATCGTCCTCTTAAATTATAAATATTATATTTATTATTTACAATAGAAATATATAATTTTATAGTATTTCAAAATAACTTTAAGATTTTTATTTATAGAATATTGAATTTTATTGCAATTGTAAAGAAAATCTGATTGCAAGTTTATAAATATTTAGGATTATTTCAACTTTATATTACAGTATTATAAAGCTATTCGTTATATTTAAAACATTATTTTGAAGTATATATATATATAATAAAATAAATTTTCTATATTCGATGAATAAGTTATAAATATTTTATTTAATAGAATAATAATTCGTCTTAAATACAATATACTATACTTATTTTAACTAAAATATTTATTAAAATGTCTACCTATTATTGTTGTAAGTTTTTACGAAACAATTTTGGCTTAAGCCTGACATTTATCAATGGGGAGATTTATAAAATAAATTTACACAATTGCCTGATGGTCATAAAAATTATATATTCCAATATTTTTTATATTTATTTCATTTTCCTCGAATTTTTGACAAATTTATTAATTATTTCATTAGGTGACAAATCTGTTTTCATCTAGTTTACGTACCATATTCGAAAAATAAATCTACTTTACATTACAATATTTCTTTTCCATTGTACATATTTTATTACACTACTACATTTAAAAGTTTTCTTAGTCGATTGAATTTTGTATTCTAAAATGATAATTTGAATGCCTAATGCGTAGGGGTGAAATCAAAGGAATAATTATTTCCCAAGCCCTCAATAGTGTCATATTAATTATATGTATACAAAATTTAATATTAAAATATAATAGTAAAATACCATTCATTTATTATTAGAATATCCGAATTAAGACGTGAGATGAATTAAGCACTATTGACTAAAAATATTTATTATTTTAAATGTGATTATTATATTATATTATAACGTGTTAGCCCCCGGGGCTCTCGATACCCGCCGTCCCTGCTAATGTGTATTTAAAATGTATAAGAAATTGTTAACTAAAAATATAATCCCACAGTTATCTAATTATTTCACGTGATACTTTTGTAGTAAAAACAAACTTAATTTCAATAATTACGGGTTCAATATTTTTTTTAAAAAAAAGGTATATTATATTTGGTGATTTTATTTTATTATCCATATTAAATATTTGAAAAAAAGAAATGCAAACACAATAACAAACAAAATATTGTCTACAGCAGTCAATACGAGAGTGTGTGGTATTGGTAACTATTACTATCATTCCGTAGGTAAGTATTGTGTTTGTTTTTCCCCAACGTTCTAAACTGCATCATAAATTGTGTATCTTCCAGTAAAATATTTTCTCAGGTTTTACCGCCATGCAGTGAAATATTATAAACACTGAAAGGCAATATTGTTATTTTTAGTCTATTGCCTATTCCTAAAAATATTCTTCGATGAACAAAAAATATAATTGTACATATTTTAAATATGTCTATTTCAACTGAACATCTTATTATTATTATTATTATTATAACATTTCAGAACAATAATATTTAAATTTTAGTAAAATAAAAACAAAAAAATCGAATTTTAATACCACTTATAGAAAATCAGGTATAATTTACTTAACCAACCACCTCAAGATTTTTGATATTTTTTGGGGGGAGAGGGAGGAGTTTGAACCCTTACCCTCCTGAATATGTCACTGTATGAATATAAAAATTAAAATTAATAAAATTTATATTTTATGTATTTTCTCTGTAATATTAACTATTTCAGTTTCTACAAAACGAATAATTTCAGATGAAAGTTGTATATTTCAAGAAAAATGGATCTATAGTTATTTTTTCACTCCTGTTAAAGAAAAACCAGTATGTTTAGTTTGTCACTAATTTATTTCAATAATGAAAGAAATACAGAGATATTTTCTACCATTATTGCTAATATTTTTTTAGAATTATTTTAAAAATAATATCCTATAATGGTCGTAAATATAATTTTAAATATTATTAATCCAAAAACTAATCATACTTTTATTATTTAATGATTTAATATTATTATTGACTTTCGAATAATCATTATTTAACGTTGACAAAAGTTCAACATTATTCATCCCATGATTTTCAACTAAATTATAGTTGTTTTTATTATCTTCAAGATATTTTGATCCAAACATGCTTTCCATTATTTTTTCTACTTTCTCCATTTTTTTTCGTTATATTATCTTTAATATGATCAACATTAAAATTGTTCATCGTTCTGGAAAAAAAAAAAAATTCAAAATGTTCTCATTATCACTAGTTACGAAAAGGTACATAAATTTATACATTATAATTCGAGTATAAGTTATCATCTTTAATGAATTGATTAAGTACCTATAATTTAGATTTTAAAATTATATCAATAATACATTTTTGATGATAAATATTGAATTAATTTTTAATATTTAATTTGAAACGGTCGTACCTTACGAAATTTAATATTACTCCAGTCTAAGCATTTATTTTTTTTATTTACTTATTTATTTATTTATAAATTAATTTACGAATATTAACCATTTATTAATTTTTAATTTTTATTTAATTTTTTATTATTTTATTCATTATTATGATGGGTCAAACCAATGTTCCAACTTGATAATTGAAAATGACTGAATATTTAAACATGAAATTAACTGATACCAATTTAAATTGGTATCTACTTCAATAAAACCTGTAAGAAATTTAAAGTTGTTCCAAAACAGGTGCGTACATAAAAATATATTTTTGGGGAGGTTTTAAGTTAAATATTTTCAAACTTATATAATCTATAAACCACTTTTACTCTTTAAAAATATATTAAATAATTTCTCTTTATTTCGGGGAGGGTGATTGAACCCCTAAAACCCACTTTATATACGCGACTGTTCCAAAATACATCAATATACATAAAAAAGTGTACTTCTGAAGCTATTATTAAATTATTAAATTATTAAATAATTGAAACTAGACTGAATTGTATTTGTTAATGCTGATTTTTTTTAACTATTAAATAATTGAAAGAAATTATTTTTAACATAAAGCGTAAAAGTTATTAACAATTATTAAAAACATTATATACAATACACTAATGGTATAACTTCCTGTCACTACCATAAACAATACTTATGGGTAATAGATATCATTATATATTAATAGATTTGTATAGAATTATAAAAATATAAATTTAAATTTAAAAAATTATATTTTAATTGCAAACATTAATTCAGAAAAAAAATACCAAGGTTTCCCTCAATATCATCGTTCGTATCCTAAAATTTATCAAAAATTTAAATTGTATTCCTAAGATGCCTATCACAATAAGTAAAAGGTTGAAACTCAAAATAAAATGACTAATAATTTTCTCATGACAAAAAAAGGGGCGAAACCGTTTTCGGCCAGTTCACTTTTGGGCCATTCTGGAATGTCCGTTTTTGGCCATTACATTGTTTTGGTCATCAATTAAAAATATTCTTCCTGTTTATTTTTTCTGTCGAACTACCAAATTATATCTCATACCTAGAACAAAACTGTATCAACTCAAAAAGTGGATATTTTAAGTAAATTATATAATTCGGTTCTACAAACAAAGTTGTCTGAACCAAAAAAACAATTTTAAACCTATCTTGATTACTCTCAAAAAGATAGCGCTTTAAATACTTTTTGCTAAATGACTGATCACTACCAAAAAAAAAAAAAAAAAAAAACCATTGCAATTTAAGTCGCAAAAAAAGTATATTTTATAATTGTTACAGTTTTGATGTGATATAATAATCATACATCATTTTTAATTTATTATTTAAAATTTATTTTAAAATACCTTATTAAGTCAAGTAAAAAAATATAAAGTTATAATTTTCATAATTTACAATTTATATTATACTATTAATATACCTATACTACTTACTTTTACTTAAGTAAAAAATGTATTAGATCGATACATTTGTAGACAAGTAAACCAATACTAATTTAAATAAAAAAAACAATTTATAATCTTATTTATTACTTTTATTGCTACACATAATTTGATATGAGTTGGTATTAGGAATTGTAATCTGTTTTTTTAAAAAATTATCTATACCTAATGTAAAATTTTACATTCCAGAATAGCCAAAAAATAAATGGTTTATTTTGGCTAAAAAATTTCCCGCCCCGAAAAAAGTATGCATTAGATTATTCAATAAATGCGCAGAATAGTTTTTTCTTGTTAAATGGTTTCAAATTAATTTTGAGTAAGGAAATCAAAAAAATGATGTATAAAATTATAAACGCCATATAATTATTATTACCAATTTCATTATTAGGAAATTAGATGTTCATTGAATTGAATTGAATTGATTGTATGAACTCATGAATTTATTAGCTTTTAATTTAGAGTTAATTTAATAAAAAAATAGCATGTGCATATAATTTTAAAAATTCAAAAATGAAATGAAAAAAAAAGATTGAATAGATAAATGTTGTAAAAAAAATATTTTTTCTAATAATATTAATTAATTTTGAAGCTTAATAAATAAATAAAAAGCAAATTAATGTTATATAATTTTTCTGCTTCAAGTATTTTAATTTATAGAGATAATTTTTTTTATGATTTAATTATAATTTTTAATATTATAAAAATATATCTTAATGGTGGAAGGTGAATACTAAATAACGCTGAAAAGTTTTGATTGTTCTGTAATTAGTTGCGTTGGTTATTCTCATTTGTATACTTTTTAAACAATTGTCATAGTATTGATCTATAAAAATTGGTTACCTAAATAAAGTCCATAAATAATGATTTATGAATAACATTATTATATTTATAATTACGAAATATAATTGTAGGCAACTAAAAATATATGATCACTTAAAAAGTGCCAACACAAAAAAAAAAACAAAAAATAAAAATTATTGTGAAATTAAAGGACTTGTTTTAATACACCATATCAGAAAGAAAAATTTACTTTTTCAAATATTTTCAGCAAAAATTTGATAATAATTTGATGATTAATAATAATAATTTTCAAAACACAGAAAGCAATGGCATAAAAAAATAAATAATAAGTGACTTATATGCAAGGCTGGGCAAATAAATTATATTTTTTAACTCGATTAAATTAAATTAATTGAGTTCATGTTCAATTAAGTTAACAATTAAGTTAATGCACATGAGAATTACATAAATTAAGTTGAAAAATATTGTGAACTTAACTATGTCCAGGCTTGCTTATATGTATAAATATATTAAAAATAAAACGCATAATTTCTATAGTACGTTAGCTTAGATATAAATAGCAAACATTATACCATAGTGATTAAGAATAGCCATAGGCTTCAAAAAAATTAGAATCAAATATTTCCATAAGTATCTTCTTATATATGAATTTAAATGTAACTAAATGTTATATTAACATAATAAATAGGTAACTAGTATAAAAATAAACAGTGTATACCTAATGAGTATAAAAAATAAATAAACAGGGATATAAAAAAAAGCCCTTATGATATAGTTAAATAAAATTATTACCTTAGAATTGTATGAAATAAAATTGATTGTTAAGTAAATACTTCTGAAAAAATGACGGAGATTTTAGCCCAACACAAAACACAAGCGGATCGAACACAGATCGGAGCACGACTGAAGAAGCGGCAAGTAACATTAACTAGTGGAGGCAGAGATCCCCTCAAATGTTATTGATCGAAATCCTATGGTGTTTCTCTGCCACTATGCCCTCCCTTTCCTAACGTGTATTATGATAAATACGTACATTCAACACGATAAAAGATGCTTTACAAAAGATAAAACTACCTGCGTTTTTAAAAACCATATATTTTGTATATTTTATTATAACAACCCCTATACATTATAATAATAATAATCTTTTTCTTTATTATACACAATTTAGAAGTTTTGAGTACGTACATACACACACACACACACACACACCACACACACACACACACACACACACACACA